AGAGGCCCCTATAGAGCCTCTGGATTATTCTGAAGTTTACATCACCTGCTTACTCCACTTTCTCTGAGGCTATCAGGTACAGTGGTCCACTTGTGGCCAAACTGATCCTCTTCCCAAACTTGTAGCTATTATCTGCTCATGTCTTTTCTTTGACAACTTCGGTATGTAGCTCAGTTTTCCTATCCACTCAGTCCTCTGCCAGCATCTTTAGGTCTCTTAGCATCTATACTAATGACCTTCCAAACCCCCTGCTTTATACCTATGATTCTCAAATCCAATGATGTTCAGTGCCTTCCTAACATCACCTACCCTTAGGTATGGACCTCACTGACATCAGGCAAGCCCCAGACCTTGATTCGATCTCCCATCCTTCTGCTCTTCCCAAGTGGTCACCCCGAGCTTGCTCTTCCTCAACATGGCCTCTAGTTGGTTGGTTTCTCCCATTCTCATAGCTCACCTGCCACTTCTAGTCCCAAAGTTGTGCTCTTGGGCATGGTGACTGGTCACTGCAGTGATGCTAGTGGGTGCCCTTGCTTCATCTGACTTCTACTGCTGCATGCTCCTTGCCAACCTTAGCCTGGCAGATGGCACTAACCTCTCTATCTGCTTCCAAATGTTGCAAAACGGGGCTGATTGATCTTGCTGCTAAAGTGTGTGTTCGACTTTATCTCTGTCATCTCGTTGCACAATTACCCTCGTAAGAATTGTTAATGCCCCCCCCCCCGCTTTCTTTACATGTATTCTAACAACCCTTTTCACATTTCTCTTTTCAAGCAATCCATCTCAATCCCACAACCTAAATTTTATGCAGTTTTGCTCTCTAAATTTTTTCAAAGAATTGAGACCCTGTAAGATAAATGATTTTTAGTGCCAAGAAAAACAAGAGTATAAACGTTTATTTTTTTGAGAGAGAGAGTGCATGCAAGGGAAGAGTAGAAACAGGGAGACAGAAGATCTGAAGCAGGCTCCTCACTGAGAGCACAGAGCCCAGTGTAGGGCTGGAACTCATGAACTTCGAGATCATGACCTGACCTGAAGTTAGATGGAGGCTTAACTGACTGAGCCACCCAGGCACCGCAAAACTTGTTTATATATTTCATTACATATTAGAAGTCTTTTTAATAGTCCCAAACACAAACCAGCTTGAAAGATGAATGACAAAGTAGAAAAAAGAAAATGTGAGCTTCCTCAATTTCTCCTTCTTTGTCTCAGAATTGTCATATGTGTCTTTTTATCAATTCTCTTCTCTTTCCCTTCTCTAACAGTATTTGAGACTTCTTTAGGAAAACCACTTTCCCCTGGTTGCTTTGGAACCTTGCTCCATTAACTTTTTCCTACTCTTTATTGTGCCTTCAATCATTTCTTTTGGATTAGCTCCTTTCTCTTAGTCAAATAATAAAATCTTTGCACCTTAAAAATAAATCACTCCCCCTCCAAAATCCCAGATGGATCCATCTACCTATTCCCCCAGTTCTCAAACAGTTCTCCATTCTCTCCTGCTCCTCTCTATCAAGCTTCTCTTCCACAGCTGGTGCCTCTGCCTCTTGGCCACCAGCTTGCCCTGCTGATTTTGTTCTCTTCCATTAAGCTGCTCTCAGAAATACAAATGGCTTTCCAATTGCCTCTTCCAGCCTCCTGATGAGCTCTCTATAAGTAACGGACACAGGCAAACATTATGCTTGGAAACTCTGTTCTGAAAGCTCTTCTCAGCCTCTTCTCTCTGCCTGCTCCCTCTAGGTAACAGAGCCCAGTCTCAGGGGTTGGCATCCTATTGGATGACTTCCAAACTTAGGTCTCCTGCTTTAAGTGGCCTCTGAGCGCTAGGTCTGCATTTTTGCTGTTTACTGGACATACCTAGAAGGTATAATGCCGGCATCTTTGACTCAGTATGAGTTAAGGAGAACATTTCTTTCCTTCCCCTGGGTCCACTGTTCCTGACTGCTAACAGTAGTCCCATTGAACAAAGAAACAAATAAAGCACATACACACAGACACACACAGTTGTACTGATTTAACAAATGGACTTTAGCAATAAAAAGGCAGCTCAGATTGGTGACCAGTGCCCTGACAGGGAATTGGGTGGTATCTACTTCAGGTCCTGAAAACTCAGGTATTCTTTTTCTTTTGTTATTAAAATGGAGACAGGTATTAATTAATGTGACATTTCTAAAACCCTAGGATGTTGTGTAGAAATAACAGAAACTTGAATTAAACCAATAGTATTAATATTCTGGAATAGGTTTAGGGGTAAGTATAGTAACTGGTTTTGTAATGACTATTTTTGTGTTGTTATAGCTCATCTTTAAGACGTTTGGAGAGTTTGAAAGCAGCAGCTATATTAGATTAGTAACTGCTTTTTAAATTGTCTAGGAAAATAAAATTTAGCTTTTAATCAATGCATAAATGCTTAGCAAAGATCCACTTTAAAGTTTCAATTATTGGATATATAAGATTAATAAATTGATCATTGAGAATAAATTTATCCATGGCCATAAGACTCCCGGATATTAAAGGGTAATTGATACTTTAGAGGTATATCACACATGTCTCTTTTTGTCTTAAGAATGGTTTGGAGAATGGCGCTTGGGTGGCTCAGTTGGTTAAGCGTCTGAGTTTCAGTTCAGGTCATGATGTCACATTTTCATGACTTCAAGTCCCACCGTCTCTTTCTCAATATAAGTACATAAAAGTTTAAAGAAATAAAAAAATGATTTAGAGCCATGGTTTTATCTAGGACAGTCCAGGTGCTCAGAACACAGCCTTGGGCATGTGTATTTAAAAAAAAATGCTTTTTCTTTCTTTCTTCCTTCCCCTTCCCGTTCCTGTTCCTCTTCCCTTCCCTCCTTTCTTTTTGCAAGAGAAAAAAAGCACAAGCAGGGGAATGGCAGAGGGAAAGGGAGAGACAGAATCCCAAGCAGGCTCCCTGCCTAGTGTGGAGCCTGATATGGGGCTTGATCTTACACCTGTGAGATCATGACTTGAGCTGAAACCAAGAGTTGGGCATTTAACCAACTGAGCCACCAAGGCACCCCAGGCATATCTATTTTAAAAAGGTAGTTCCAAGATGCAATCACTGTTTAGATTCTTCCTTTAATTAGCAGAGTATAGTAACCAGTTAAATTACTAGTCACTTAAGTTATGAATCAAATCACATTTTGTTTGATATAGATGGACCTCCTGTATTCTTTAGCTGAAATGCAATTAATTTTCAAACAGGCCATAGCCTAAGAGTGGGGAACATGTTATGTTATATAGAGATTTTTTTTTAATTACAGAAAGATTTAGTCTGCATGTGTATTTTATTTTTATAATCTAGTGTTTGCCACATAAAGTTGTAGTAATTATACTAAAAGCATAAATCTTTGATTTTAAGTGAGACTACCTGGTATACACATACTATTTCATTCTTCTGGTATAGTTTCCATGTAGGGAAACCGTACCAATGTGCATTTATTTAGAAAGACATTTGGGAACAGGGTCACTCGTTGGCTAATCTGCAGCTTATGGGCCAATGGCCACAGGAAAGACAGAATATAAAATATGTTGCTTTGTCATTTCTGCCCTTTCCTGTGATGTATATTATGCTTTCTATCCCTGCACAGCATTCCCCATCTGCTTTGGGGCAGGAGTTTTAAATACCAAAATGTGGGATTTTGCAGTTTTGTGTGGCATGAATTGTTTCTTTTTAGCTTCAGTGAAAATATGTTATATTGTGTCTGGCATATAAGAAACAAATGAATAGTTGCTGCTATAAATAATAATAATTATTAGAATGATTATTATCATCATTATTATATTTGGAACTATTATTTAGTGAAGTAAAGGTTTTCCATCCAAAAGGGATCAACATGCACCAATATAATAATTCTGTGAGATCCTGGTTGTTAGAAAACATCTGGAGAACAAGCCTACCATGGAGTCAATCTCTGCTAAGCGTATACAATCTCCTACATAGGTTTCACATCAGAATTCATTTCTCTTTATCCCACACCCTACTTCCCCTCTCTTCAGATCCACTAAATCAAGTGTGTGGTACAAAAGGGGTCATTTCTCATCTTTTGACTACATGACCAGAAATAAACAAAATATGCAGGAAAATGAATTTGACAATGAAGTATGAAAGCCTGATCTTATTTAAAACTCTGCTTGAATTGCTAAAAATAATAAAAATCAAGACTTCTTTCTCTCCTTGTGTATCAAAAGCTTTTATGGAAGGCACTAAAGAGGAAATCTAGTCCATTTTCTTGTTTTCAGACTCACCTTCACTGACGACAAATGATTTTTCATACCTTATTTTTAATGTCCACATTATAGGGCCTGTGTATTAGAATAAACAAATTCCAGAAATCTAAAGCAGGATACAAATGGCGAGTGGTGTGTAATTCCACAATAAAGGGGTTCGAATTTATAACTGAGATCATCTCTCTCCCTTCTGCAAAAGAGCTGTCTCTTTAAATGAAAAAAAAAAAAAAAAAAAAAGCTGTACTTTTCTTTCTCCCTTTAGAAGGCAATAGATATTAAATAACCTAGTGTTCACACTTCTATTAAGGCTTGATTTTACTCTGAGGAGATGTTAAAACCCTACAAAAACAAAAAGGACTTGCTTGTATTTTATAAAGATCAACCATATTAACATTTTAATAAACTAATTTAAGCCATCTGGTATTTAGAAAATGGGTCTGGTTCTCCAAAGAAAATAAACAAAATATAAAGAACTCTTGAGTTCGTGTTTTTTTTTTTCTTCTTTTAAAGGAAAAGGAGACTCTTGATCATCTGCCCTGCCATTGAGGGATCATCAATGATTCCCTCATTCCCCCATCAACCCCGAGAAGCGCCCACTGTGGTTCAGGCACTATTCTAGGCTGTCATGTGAAAGAAACAGTCTGCTCTTAAGACGCTTCCAAAGGGCAATCCATAAACAGATGATCTGTGCAGATACTAGCAGAACAACGGGAGCTGTGTGGAAGCACAAAAGAGCTATGCTATATGATCGCGTCAGACCTCCAAGTAAAATGTGAAGGGCCCTCTCTCCGGAGGAAGCCCAGGCATGGGGGGCAAGGTCCAACAGCTTGTTGTCTCTTGTTTATCTCTGCAGCTTTCATAACCCTTGTCTCTCTTCACCAGTGCCCTTGCCTTCCCCTGGCCTACCCCTGCTTGCTCCTTGGAAGCCTCACGTCGAACTGCACCTTGCTCCCACCTCCCACCCCGTGCGTTCTGTGGCCTCATTACAACAGTGTCCTACACTGGTGCCTCCGGGACTACGTCTGTGTCATCACCACTGAACTCCTAAAGCCCGGGTGAGTCTGGCATGGAGGACTGATATTTGTTTAATCAATTATGGGGTGAATGGATGAATGAGGCAAGGTGCGTCTGTTGGTGACTAAAGGGTGACTGAATGCTGGTCCCACGCTCAGGGCCATGGGAACAGATGGCTGGTTGAGCCTGGGGGGCAGTGTGGTGGAGGGAAAGAGCACAGGCATTGGAAATGGCTCTAACAGGGACTTTCCTATGAGAACAGAGCTGGTCTTTCTGATAAGAGTCTAAGCTTCTGGAGAAAGACTTACAGATAACGGGAAGAGGTGGATTTCCACTGAAATATGAAGTGAATACAAACACACACCTACTTTGTCAAAGATGAGCTGTGTAAGGCCCCCAGTTCAATACCTGACACAGAGCAGGCCCTCAATACAGCAAAATCGAATCTTGTATACGATACAATACGAAACACAATACCACTGAGTCTCTGCCCATATGGAACCTAGCATCCAGTAGGAGAGACAGAAAGTGGATCCCTAAGATCACACGGCTGGTAAGCGGCGGGACAGAGGCCTCCAGAAAGCTTGCTTGGTTACAATGTCTGTGCTCAGGGGAGAGGGGACGACTGGAGGCAGACTTGAGAGTGTCTTCAAGGGGGCAGATGTGTCATAGTGGTGGGTGTGATTGCAGGGAAAGGAAGGGCCAGCAAAGGAGACTGGGACAGGCTTGGCGAGGTGGGAGGCAGGAGTGAGGACGCCAGCCATGCAAAGGAGTCAGAGCGGTCAGGCATTGCTAGGATGTCTAACTGGACGAGGGCACACACACTGTTTGTGGCCCTTAGGAACCGAATTGTGTGTGCAGGAGCTGGCATATGGTTGGGATGACAGCAGTTGAGGTGTAAAAGGACGGCTGGGAAGTGGAACTTGCTGAGTGTAAATGGCCCTTACAAGCAAAAGGGAAACAAGCTGGGAAGGGGCTTGAAATGGGAGCAAAGAAACCAAAGCATATCTGTGCACGGGGTGGGGGTGGGGTGGGGGACGGAAATGTGTGCTTTAGGGAGGGAGCGGTGGAGCCAGCAGGGGGAGAGGAGAGGTTTCTGGAGAGCAGGCATCTGAAGGGGATGAGCAGGCTTTCAGAGGCGGAGATGGGGATGGTGGGGACTAAGGAAAGTAGGACTGCTGATGTGGATAAAATTAATGGGTGCTTCTTCATGGGGTAAAATGTAGGGAGTGGAGAATTTTCTGGCCTGGGAAGTTTGATTAGGACAAAAATGTCTACTTAGTTGACAGATGGTAACTAGGACAAGGGGATATCATTTCGGACGAAGTTAATTGTACCCCTACCTCTGTTTTATACTAAAACAAATTCTACACATATCACAAATTAGACATAAAAAAGCACCAGGAGGAAATGCAAGAGAATTCTGGAATCTTGGAATGGGAATTTGTTGTGATATAAAATTTAAAGACAAAAAGGTAAAGAGTTAACTGCATAAAAATGAAAATCTTCTGTATAAAACATCTAGTAAGCAAGGCCAAACAATAAATGACAAATGGGGGAAATATATTTATGATATGCATGAAAGGAAACCAAAAAACACTGAATACATTAACATAGAAAAGAGACAGAGATAGTAGCATACATAAACTATCTTTACCTTGACCTGTAACTAAACAGATACCACCTTTCAGAAATCAGATTGGTATAGATGAAGATGTTTGATGTTCTCAGAGCTGCAGAGTGTGAAAATAGGGTTTTGCTGGATGGTAGTGAGCTGGGCAATGTGCGAATGCTAGTCTGTGTTTTCAATGCCCACATTCTTGACTCAGCTCTTCTCCCTCTAAGTCTTTATTCGACATGAAGACAAGTACAGGAATGTCCACTGCCACACTGCTCATATGGCAACAGAGCTGAGATCGGTGTACATATCCATCAGTAAGGGGCTGTTTAGTTAAATTACAACAGATCACACTGTGGAATACTATTCAGCCTCGAAAAAGGAAAACAAGGTTGTATGTTCTGATATGGGAGAATACATTATGTTGAGTGGGGGGAAAAAGAGACTGTAAAAGAGTATTTTTTAGTATACTGTCCTCTGTTTTAAACAGAAAAGAGTACGTACACACACACACACACACACACACACACACACTACCTTTAAATGAACAGGAAATTTCTGGAAGGCTATATAAGATTCTTAACATGGGAAAATGAGATTTACAGTTAGGAGAAAGAGTGAGAGCAAATTTCTTCTTTTAAGTGTTTTTATATTGAAAATGTGATATTTTGATTAAAATAAGTAAAGAGATGTAAATGGCTGAAAGATCAAGTTGTCCAATTTGCAAATCACAGGGGGTTATTGGTTGTGTTCTGTGCCCATTCATTCTGATATTTGGTAGTGATCACCACACCAAGTAGATCCTTAGGAGCTAGGGCTCACAGTCTGTGTGAATCCTGGTCCCTTACTTATTAGTAAGCGACAGTGGGTACCTAAATAACTGCTTTAAACTTTAGTTTTCTCATCTCATAGTACTGGTTGAAGGACTAAATGAGATAGTGCATGTAAATCATTTAGCATATAAAGTGCTCAATAAATGTGATCTAGTATCATTATTAATAAAGCTCTTTCATCTTACAGTATGCTATTGCCTTATTATATAGAATTCTTACTTGACTGGTGCCTTGCAGATTATAAAACATTCTATCTTAGTTTTCACAGCAGCCCCAGTTTTACTGAGTTTCAGAGAAATTAAGTAGTTAGCCTAAGATCAAAATCTAGGATTTAAAAGCAGATCTTCTGACTTCAAGGGTTTTCTCCTGTTTGATCACAGCTGTCTGAAGACCAACAAGCCCACAAGCCCCTATATTTTGACATGTGCTAATAAGGCTGATTGTGAAATCCTAGGCATTGTGAACCATGGAGCTCCACATTATTTCGTATGATACTTTGGACAGAGGAAACCAAAATGCTGTTTAGAACACCATTCTGTTGGTGGCTTACAACTTTCCTTAACAAGATTTAAGTACATCTGTCTACACGGTTAGTGGTGATAGCACAAAAAGTTCAAAAAGCACAGAAAAGAAAAAAATTCACAAAGATGGCTAAATCACCTGTCCAGAAAAAAATCAATACATGCTTCATTTGCTCTATGAATAGGATTACTGTTGTCCCAAATTTAGACATTTTCATTATAGTACTACTGTGTTCAATAATTCTTTATATAACAGAAGTTGATCTGACCCAAAGAATTTTTTTCCTGAACTAGAAAAGTAGGCTGATATTGGCATCTTCATCCAGCAGACAAGACAAAGAATTTATGGAATTTTCTCAAGGTCCTTCGGTGAGTTAAGGGCCGAATCACTGGAGTTTAGATGCTTGCTTTCAAATTTGCCTCAAATACCACATACCAAGATCTCACTCTTTCTTGCTCTAATTTTTTCATGAGACTTTCCTGGAATAAGTTCTGAGTGTATTTTGGAATAATAAAGTATTACACTGAGTACACAGAGTAGACAGTACTGGAGTCTCAGTAAGTTCTTTAATAGACTAAAAATAATTGATTTCTTTACTTTTTTTAAAAGACAGTTTGGTTCAAACTGAGAATGCATATTTTTTTTTAAACAGCTGTGACTTCTTAATGCTCTCCTTATGTATAAATGTATTTTAGCACAATGTAACTCTGCTTAGGAAAAGTCAACTTAGAAGAAAGTTCTTTTGGTATTCGTAGTAGCACCATCTCTGTTCTGAACTATACTAATAAGGAATCAGTTAAATATGATGGCTCTAATAAGCTGTATATTGAAAATTAATTTAATGTTATTTATTTATTTGAAATCACTACACCTCTCAAACACACACACACACACACACAGTATATAACTGACCACCTCTGATGTGAAAACTCAAATCCAGAAAACATCATTTAAAAATCAGTCATCTTCCTCTGACACCTTTGGAAACATTTTGGGTCAGACTCTTTCCCGGAACATAATGCAGTTAAAAATCTCTGTGCCACATCTCAGCTGCCCAAAAATGAGTACTTGGAAGGAAAGAAGCAGACAGTGTAAGTTAAAATTCTAATTTTTTAAATGGTGATGTGGAAGGACAACTATTGGTTTAAGTGACCTCAAAATCCTAATCTTTTCTCCAGTAAAGGCTACTGAGAATTTACTGGCCTGTTCCACCCTAAGTGAAAGAAAGATGAAAACATACCCAGATTGCAATTCCCATTGTGGGATGTTCCTGGTTAGAGTCCCAAAGGTCAAAATTGAGGGTCCTTTATCATGGTATATTCTAAGATCTTAAGTGTAAAAGATATATCAGAGCTGTGGACTGGTCAGTCTAGGTTCTCAAATTAGTCTTCCATAGTGTTAATATATTAAGTTACAACAACTGAATTGATGTAACTGATCAGGGAAATTCAAACCGAAGTGCCATTCCTCAAACTGGCATAACTAGAGTTACTAGTGTCTTAGTTATGGAGAACAAATGTGAGTTATTGATTATAGAGGTTAAGTGTTCACTGTGTAAGGGGGATTACAACGGAAGCTGGAGGAACTAATTATGAATATAAAATACCCTAACTTTACTCTTGAGAAGTGAGAACCAGAGATGTGATCATACATATTTCTTATCAGCAAATGATGGAAAAGCTCCTAACAGAACTACTTACCAGAATTAAAGCTAGTGTCTAGAATTATGAAATGGTGTAATCAGAGTAGGCCCCAGAGAGCTTCTTGCAGAATGTGGTCTTGGATAACTTCATACTTCAATCTTGCAAACTGTTTTCTGAACCTGAGGCCATAGCTTCAAGAAACCCAGGTATCTTATGCAAAACTTTGTCTGTGTATGCATAGGTGTACATATTTCTGGGGAAAGGGTAAAGAGTTTTTATCACATATAAGACATTGTGTTTAAAACCTGCTTTGATCCCAGATTGCTGGGAAGATGGTGGAGTAGGAGGGCCCTAAGCTCACCTCCTCCCAGGGATACAACTAGATAACACATCAGTGTAAACAATCCTGAAGATGACCTGAAGACTGGCAGAGCAAACTCCATAGCTAAATGTAGAGAAAAGGCTGAAGAGCGTAGGTAGGGTGGAGACTTGGTGGGGAGCTAAATGCATCTGTTGGGCTCTCTCTGGGAGAAAGGGACTCCAGGGCACAAAGAGGGGAGAGAAAAGAGATCCCCACACCAGGGAAGGTGAATCCATATAACATTTGGCTTTGAAAGCCAGAGGGGCTGAATATTACAAGTTCTTACAACCACTGGAAACTTAAAACCTTCCATTTAAAAAATCAGCTGGCTCAGCTCTGGGGGAGCTGGGAAGGGAAATGAGTCCCTTCCCTTAAAGAGACAGCACAACAGCCCACAGAGATACTGCATAGAAGTAGCAGTTTGAAAACTGCCTGAGGCTTATAGAAGGGAGAGCTGTCCTGGAGGGAAAGAGATCCTAGGGGGCTAGCAGGTGCCATTTCCCTCCCCTGCTCCATAGCAGAACACCTGCAGGAACCAGTTACCTAACCTGCTAACACTCTCCTCCCCTCACCACTGTACTTTAGTGGATCTCCCCCTCCAGCAGGCTTGACTCAGTCCCTGCACTGCAGGTCTGCTCTCCCAGAGGGTCTGTGCACAAACCTTGCACACACCGCTCATCCAGCCCCTGCCTGTTGCAGCTCCACTCCCTCCAATAGCTCTTGGCCAGACCCCATCCAACGTGGTGCCATGTTCCTGGTAGTGTGCATGCAGCCCCAAAAGGGGTCAGCACCAGTCCAAAGACACTCCTGCCCCTGAGAGAGGGAAAGATAACTACACACACCTGTCAGACTGTGGCCCCAGAGGCGGGCTGGGGGCAGACAACTACTCTGACTGCAGGCTCACCCACGAATGAAAGTTTCTCAGGGGACAACACAGGGAGAGGGGACAACACAGGGAGAGTCCCCTGCAGTTTGGTGCTACAACATTGTGTACATGCCTGGTCTGACTCAACTCAAGCCTAGGAAAGCCTGACTGGCCCACGAACACCACTGGAACCAAACACGCCCACAACGGGTGAAGATAACCACTTTAGGTGACTGGACTGAAGGAAAAAGCACAGCCGTAACAGCAGGGCACACACAACACATACACGAAGCACCCATGAAATGCCAAGTTCCGTGAAGAGGGGACACTTCAGTGCAGGGCACTACAGGATCTCTTCTCCATCAGGTCACTACTATCAAGAGCAGGAGATGTGGCTGAATTTCCTAACACAGAAACAGAGACAGACAAAATGAGGGGACAGAATATGTGCCAAATGAAAGAACAGAACAGAATCACAGTGAGAGACCTAAACAAAGCAGAGATAAGTCATATGTCTGATACGGAATTTAAAATAATGATCATAAAGACACTTACTGGATTCGAGCAAAGAGTGGAGAACATCGGTGAGACTCTTAACAAAGAGATAAAAAAACCAATCAGAGATGAAGAACACAATAAATGAAATTAAAAATACACTAGAGGGAATAAATAGTAGACTAGAGGAAGGAGAACTCAGCAACCTGGAGGGCAAAGTAATGGAAAGTAATCAAGATGAGCAGGTGAGAGAAAAACATTGTGCAAAATGAGAATAGATTGAGGGAACTCAGCGACATTGTCAAGTATAATAACATATGCATTATGGGGATCCTAGAAGGACAAGAGAGAGACAAGGGGATAAAAAATTTATTTGAAGAAGTAAGAGCTGAAAACTTTTTGAATTTGAAGGAGGAACAGAAATCCATACCCAAGAGGCACAGATATCTCCCAACTAAATCAAGCCAAGCAGATTCACACCAAGACACATAGTAATTAAAATGGCAAAAAGTAGTAATAGAGAATTTTAAAAGCAGCAAGAGAAAAGAAAATAGTCATATACAAGGAAAACTCCATAATTCTGCAGGCCAGAAGGAAGTGGCATGATATATTCAAAGTGCTGGGAGGAAAACTTCTGCAGCCAAGAAAACTCTATCTTACAAGTCTATCATTCGGAATAGAAGAAAAGTAAGAGTTTCCTGGACAAACAAAAGTTAAAGGAATTCATGATCTAGAGAAATCAACCCTATAAGAAATGGTAAAGGAGTGGAAAGAAAAGATTGTAAGTAAGAGTAAGAACGGTAGGAATCAGAAAAGTAGTAAAAATAAATATAGCTAAAAAAATCAGTCAAGGGACTCACAAAATGAAAGGATGTAGAGAGTATGACACTATAAATCTACAACGTGGAGGGGAGGGGAATAAAGAGTGAGTTCAAACTTACGGACCATCAACTAAACACAGAGTACTAGCTATATATAAAAGATGTTACATGCAAACCTAATGGTAACCACAAATGGTAAATGATATGCAAAATATAAAGAGAAAGAAATCCAAGTATTTCACTTACTTGTGGAAAAAAAGCCAACTTGTGGGGAGAGCAAGGGAAGAAAGGAACAGAGAAGATCCACAAAAATAAACACAAAACAATTTAAAAAACCCAAGAAAACAAGACTCATCTGTATGCTGTCCACAAAAGACTCATTTCAGACCTAAAAACACATACAGACTGAAAGTTAGGGGATGGAGAAACATCTATCATGCAAATGTATATGAAAGAAGGTGGAGGTAGCAATACTTATATCAGACAAATGGACTTTAAAACAAAGAATGTAACAGGAGACAAAGAAGAACACTATATGATAATCGTGGGGACAATATAACAAGAAGATATAACAATTGCAAATATTTATGCACCAACATGGGAATACCCAAATGCATACAGCAGTTAATAACAACCATAAAGGAAGTAATCAATAGTAATGCAAGAATAGTAGGGAATTTAATACCCCACTTACATCGAAATGGACACATCATCCAACAGAAAAATCAACAGGGAAATAGTGGTTTTGAATGACACACTTGACCAGATGAATTTAAGATATATTCAGAATATTCCATCCTAAAACAGCAGAATACACATTATTTTCAAGTGCACATGGAACATTCTCCAAAACAGATCACATATTAGGCCACAAAACTAGACTCAACAAATTCAAAAAGATCGGTCATACCATGTACCCTTTTCGACCACAATAGTATGAAAACTAGAAATCTACCACAAGAAAAAACCTGGAAGGACCACAAATACATGAAGATTAGTAACATGTTACTAAAAAATGAATGGCTCAAAAAAGGAAATTGGAGAGGAAATAAAAAATACATGGAAACATGGGTACCTGGGTGTCTCAACTGGTGAAGTGTCTGACTCTTGGTCTCAGCTCAAGTACTGATCTCAGGGTAATGAGTTCAAGACTAGTGCTAGGCTCCAAGCTGAGCATGAAGCATAGTTAAAAACAACAACAGAACATGGAGACAAATATAAATGAAAACACAATGGTCCAAAACCTTTGGGAAGAAGCAAAAGATGCTCTAAGAGGGAAGTTTATAGCAATACAGGTCTACCTCAAGAAGCAAGAAAATACTCACATAAAACAACCCTACCTTATACCTACATGAGCCAGGAAAAGAATAAACAAAACACAAAACCAGTAGAATGAAGGAAATAATAAAGATTAGAGATAAATGAACTAAAAAACAAAAAAACAAAAAAATGGAAAAGATCAATAAAACCAGGAGCTGGTTCTTTGAAAAAATCAACAAAATTGATAAACGTTTACCCAGACTCATCAAAAAACCAAAACAAAAAGAAAACACACAAAAAAAGAGAGGGGACTCAAACAAAGTGAGAAATGAAAGAGTAGAAATAACAAGTGGCATCACAGCAATACAAAGGATTTTAAGAGAATATTATGAAAAATTATATGCCAACAAATTAGACAACCTAGAAGAAAGGAATAAATTCCTTGAATTATATTACTTACCAAAACTGAAGCAAGAAGAAACAGTAAATTTAATAGACTGATTATCAGCAAGAAAACTGAATGGGTAATAAAAAAAACTTCCAACAAGCAAAAGCCCAGTACCAGATGGCTTCACAGGTGAATTCTACCAAACATTTAAAGAATAGTCCATACTAATTTTTCTCAAATTATTCCAAAAAACAGAAGAGAAAGGAAAACTTCCAAATTTATTCTGAGGCCAGTATTACCCTGATACCAAAACCAGAATAAAGACACTACAAAAAAAGAGAACTAAAGGCCAATATCTCTGATAAATATAGATATAAAAATTTTCAACAAAGTATTAGCAAATGGAATCAACAATACATTAAAAAAAAACATTCACCATAATCAAGTGGGGCTTACTCCTGGGATGCAAGGATGGTTCAGTATTTGCAAATCAGTCAATGTGACATGTCCCATCAACAAGAGAAGGAATAAACTGTATGATCATTTCAAGAGATGCAGAAAAAGCATTTGACAAAGTACAACATTCATTCCTGATAAAAAATGTTCAACAAAGTAGGTTTTAGAGGGAACACACTTCAATGTAATAAAGGCCATATATGAAAAACCCATAGCTAATATCATATTCAATGTTGAAAAACTGACAGCTTTTCCCTAGGGTCAAGAACAAGAATATCCACTCTTATAAAATTTTTTTTTTTTTTTACAAATAGTTTATTGTCAAATTAGTTTCCACACCACTCTTATCAATTTTATTCAATATAGTACTAGAAGTCCTAGCCACAGCAATCAGACAAGAAAAGGAATAAAAGGCATCCAAATTGGTAAGGAAGAAGTAAACATTTCACTATTTGCAGATGACATGATACTATATATAGGAAACCCTAATGACGCCACCAAAAACTACTAGAACTGATAAAGGAATTCAGTATGGTTGCAGGATACAAAATGGATATACAGCAATCCATTGCATTTCTGTATACTAACAATGAAGCAGCAGACAGAGAAATTAATCCCATTTATAATTACATCAAAGATAATAAAATATATAGGAATAAGCTTCACCAAGAAGGTAAAAGACCTATACTCTGAAAACTATAAACCACAGATGAAAGAAATTGAAGATGACACAGATATTCCATGCTCATGGATTATAAGAACAATATTGTTAAAATGTTCATACTACCCAAAGCAATCTACAGATTTAATGCAATCTCTATCAAAATACTAACAGCATTTTTCACACAACTAGAACAACAGCTCTAAAATTTGTAATGAACTACAAAAGTCCCTGAATAGCCAAAGCAATCTGGAAAAAGAAAAGCAAAGCTAGAAGTACCACAATTCCAGATGTCAAGTTATATTACAAAGCTGTTGTAATCAAAACAGTATTGTACTGGCACAAAAAGAGACATACAGATCAATGAAATGGAACAGAAAGTCCAGAAATAAACCCATGATGATATGATCAATTAATCTTGTAGGAATATGTAATGGGAAAAAGACAGTCTCTTCAATAAATGATGTTGGGAAAATTGGTCAGCTACAAGAAAAGTATGAAACTGGACCACTTTCTTATCCACACACAAAAATAAACTCAAAATGGATTAAGGATATAAATATAAGACCTGAAACTATAAAAATCCTAGAAAAGAGCACAGGCGGCAATTTCTCTGACATCGGTCATAGCAACATCTTTCTAGGTATGTCTCCTGAGCCAAGGGAAACAAAAGCAAAAATAAATTATTGGACCTATTTCAAAACAAAACACTTCTGCACAGCAGAGGAAACAATCAATGAAACCAGAAGACAACTCTGAATGGGAGAAGACATTTGCAAATGACATATTTGATAATGGTTTAGTAATCAAAATATATAAAGAATTTATAAGACTTGGCACCCAAATAATAAATAATCCAATTAAAAATGAGAAGACACGAACACACATTCTTCCAAAGAAGACATACAGATGGCCAACAGATATATGAAACGATGCTCAACATCATTCATTAGGGAAATGCAAATCAAAACTACAATGAGATATTACCTCACACCTGTCAGAATGGTTAAAATCAACAATGCAAAAAACAACAAATGATGATGAGGATGTTGAGAAAAAGGAACCTTCATGCACTGTTGTTAGGAATTCAAACTGGTGCAGCTCCTGTAGAAAAGAGTGTGGGAGACTCTTCAAAAAATTAGAAACAGAACTATGTTTTGACCTAGTGATCGCACTAGGGCGTATTTACCCAAAGAATACAAAAACACTAATTTGAAAGAATATATGCAGCATTATTTACAATAGTCAAATTATGGAAGCAGCCCAAGTGTCCATCGATAGATGAATGGACAAAGATGTGGCATATTTATGCAATGGAATATTATCGAGCCATTTCCAACAACATAGATCAATATAGACTATAATGCCAAGTGAAATAAATTTGTCAGAAAAAGACAAGTACCATATGATTTCACTTATGGAATTTAAGGAATAAAATAAAGGGAAAAAAGACAAAAAAAACAAAAGACTCTTAACTAGGGAACAAACTGATAATTGCCAAAGGGGATGTG